TATGTAATATGATAGAATAATCCAAGCTCAAGCTCATTGTTGACCTCGCAAATTGGACCCTCAACGTGACCAACCAATAGCTACTCCACGTATTTCTCCCTGCGCACAATCAACGCACGGTCAAATGCACACGGTCAGAACCAACAGGGGTGGCAGCGATCGCATACACTTCGACGGTTAAATTAGCCTCAGGTGGTCGGAACAATATCAAGGTTGTGCTAAATAAGTGGGAGGAGAGAATATATATTTACTTGTTATGGAAAGCTATGTTGTAAGAGTTTCCTTACCCTTGCCTCTTGTCAAACCTTGGGTATTTATAAGAGAGGAGAATCATTGGATGTGAGACACGTGTATGCATCTGACGGTGCGAGATGTCTGCTCATAGGTATCAATCAGCCGCGTCTATAGAGTGGGCGAGCAATTACTTCTTCCGAGTTGAGTTGACATAAAGCTGATATGTCACATCAACTAGGCTTATGGAGACATCAAATCAATTGAACCTTAGGGACAGAAAGGATCTTGACATAGATCTCTTTCTGAAATTGGTGGCGGGTCTTCTGATAGAGAATCTTGGAATGTACTGCACCTCGACTTCAGGTGCAGGGACGCTTCGATTGGTTCAGTAGATAACGCATTTTGACAATATTGGTGGTGGCGTCACTTTGGAACCACTTGGGTTGGGTGTCGGACGCCTCGTATAACGCGGTGATAGACTTTCCAAAATAGTTCAGATAGGGGCGTAACACTCATAATCCTGTATAGAATTTAAAGTTAAGGCACGAGGAATTTGATCTTTATTTTGCAAGAGAAAAAGTTAATGCTGAACAACTTTCTGTTCAACACATTCCAGTTTCAGAACAGATTGATGACATCCTGACAAAAGCCCTATCAGCCAATTTTTTTGAAAAGTTGATGAGCAAACTCAAAGTGGCTTCAATAGCTACTGCCAGACACATCCTTATTTATTTAACTTTTTTTTCTTTATTCGTTTGTTCGTAATATTGGATTTGTTGGTGGACACACCATTTTAGTGAAAGAGAAATAGTTAGGAAATTGTATTATATATAAAATGTACTGCAGATGTAAAGATCGAGCCAAGATTCCATCGTTCCAAAACTGTCTTTCTATCTTCGCAAGTTTAGCTAATTTACATATGTTCATAATTAGGGTATGCCGGGGCATATAATAAACAAACAGTTTATAGTTACAAAATTTTACAGGTTTATAGTGATTTTATATGTAGCTTCTATGGAGAGATCATCCATGCATCTATACCACCTCCTGATGGAGCTTGAGAGGTTGCCTGCTGCAAATACTTGAAAGCTTTTTGATGATTTAGAAATCCCATGAACCAGAACTCGAAATTGTCCTTGGTAACTATTTGCACATACTTTTGCTTTGGTTTTCTTGCATTTTCACTTTCGTTCGCTCTCTTCATTTTGCCTAGAGGGATTACGACCTGCAAGGTTTTGAAACCAGTGAAATTTTCATTTTCTAAGAGAAGATGGGGGATAAAATCGAAATTCAGAAAATGAGAAATATAGGCAGATATGTACTTTGTAATGTATTTTAAGCAGTTTTCCTTATGGAGAAGAGAGTTCAATTGATCTCTCACTGCAAAAGGAAATTTTATCAGTGGAAATAAAGAGGAGGCCTGCTATCAGTCCAGTTGTTGTCGATAAATAGCATTGAGAAGTCTTTAATAGCTTTTCACCATGGGAAATTTTGAAGATCTGCTTGAAAACTTTTTCCACGCCGCCCACATGAAGGATTCTTGCCCCTAGCCTCAACTTCCCTTTTACAGTTTCTGTAAATTTGGGTCGTAGTTTCACTGCAGCGATAAAAATAAAGCAGAACATTAGCCCTAAAACAAGAATTTTTATTATATATCGGTGGATGACAAGAA